GACACTGAGAAATAGCTAAAGCATAAGTGTAGGTCAGCCAGGAGCCTAAATCCAACCAAGATGTTAAGCCATTAATGTACTGCAGGGGAGAAGTTAGTATGCAGAGCAGGCACATCTATCTTATTGTGTACATTCAATCTGCACATCTTAAACTTTCAAAATTTCTTGTTCAATGTCAGTTTTCTTCCTGCTTTGTGTGCATACGTCTGTGTGTGGGGCGCTTGCGCAGATTTAAAGCCACTTTTCTCTGGTGAACTTTTAAGAGCTTAAGTGTAAAACATTATGCAAACAAGTATTTCTCTGAAGCTTTGGAAGATGTTCAGAAAGCCTTGTTATCGGCTTCTTGTTGGCAGAAGTGTTGGTATTGCTTAAAATCCAGTGCCAGCCAGCACTAACAAACAACCTTTTATTCCTCCACCACATCAGTTCCTCAGAGCTGAATATTTTCACTCATATGGCAATATTTTAACAAGTTGTTGAGTTTTACTTCAGTGTAACTTCAGCAACCAAAGAGCTGCACTTTTTCAAATTTTCAGAGGAATGGAATAAATTTAGGTTAAGTAATGATGATTATTCTAGGCAAAGATTTCCTTCATTTAATCTTTCCATAACCAAAAAATGCAAGCAGCACTACCACTCATTAAAAAAAAATACTAATGAATTTCCAAGGGAAATTAGAGAATCAGTCCTAAAGCATTTGGATTAGGGAATCTAATTCTGCAGCCTCTTTGCATATGAAGCAAGAAGCAGAGTAGATGAGACCCATATGCTATGTAGATCCTCAGCCTGGTAGATTTATTTTTCATTCCTCCTCTCTCTGGCCAGAACTTCTGTTTCATTCTCTGCACCCTTCTTGCTCCAGTAACGTTGTTTTTCTCTAATTTCCCTGGGGTTGTAAATCCAGACCTGTATTTAAGCATTTGCAGAGGTCTGACCTTTGTTCCTATGCTTGACTTTGGGTGCCAGGACTTGGCCTCATCTTCAGAAATGATCTGAGTGCTCAGTCACCACCAGGTGAGTCCTGGGTGCACCTTGAATGAAGATACAGTGTCTGCTTTGCTGTAAAGAGAAAGTCTCTTACAAAACACACTGCCTAGCACAGGAACTCCATCTTTCAAAGATTTCCCCATCTCCTTTTAATTTGGAAGCATTCCCGAGGAAAGTCAGCAAACTGAGACCAGATGTGTCTTCTCCAGCAGTGCTGCGGGCTGCCCAAGTTCTGAAACTGCCATGTTTTTAATTGTCTTACAATGGGGCAGCACCCAGGAATGCAGGGCGTCGTGGTGGGATCCAGAACCATCCTGGCAGGAACAGCAGAGCAGTGACTCCTTAGGAAACTGTCTCAGGAGCTGTGGTGCTAGGACATCCACAATTTTTTACCTCTCCTTCTCACATTTGCTTAGTTTAAAAGGTAAACCTTTTTCCTGTCTCTGATTCTCAGTCCCTCAGACCTCAGATGCACAACAGGAGACCAGTGAATGATGTTTTACAACAACTGTATATCTGAGGGACACTACTACCACCCCCAAGTCCCATTTCTTCTCCTATGGCACCTCTGCAGCAAGTCCATCCTGCCTGTACAACCTCCAAACTGAGCAGTTGTCCTCAGACAATCACATTTAAATATTTTGGTACTGCTGCTGGACCAGCCATTCTCTCCTCTGTTACGTCAGTTTGACTCTAGAAAGGTTTCAGGTAGTGAGGACAGGGGAGGAGGGATTTCTCCCATGCTGAAGAGCCAATAAAAGCTAGCTGAGGATCAGATAATTCCATGCAGAAAGAGAGGGCAAGGGGAGGAGGAGGTTCTTTGGGGTATGTTGCTGGAGAAGCAACATACTGGCTTTTGTTCATCACCAGACCTAGGGTTGTCTGGGTGTTGTTTAGGGTTTTATCCATTTTGTACTGACCCTTTCCACTGATCTGGCTATGACATGAGTAGCTCTACCTCAGCTCCCAAATTGCCAAGTAACACTGCTCCTCCACCTCCTGAGCCCTTGTGTAACCTTATCTATTAAAATCATACCAAGTTTGAGAAAAAAATATGTTTTGGGTAGATTCAGTGTTCCAAATTTTGTTTGTGAGATGGGTTCCGCAGATCTGTCTTTGACAGGTATTTTGTGATCCCTGTTCCTGCCATAATGTGGAAGTATGGTAAGGGGATGGGAGTGAGGATGGAGGGCCAGGGACCTCAAGGAGCTCTACACCTGCCACCAAGGAAACTGCAAACTGCAGCCAGAAGATTTTTGTAATGTCATTTCAAAGTGATGGCCAGATTCTCAGAAATTTTCTTCTCTTCAGGGACATTTGCCAGACAGGAGAACATGGCAGCATCCTTCTAATAAACTGTTCCTGCAAATTACTTGCCCAGCTCCTCCCTGTGCGCCTGTGTGCACACATATTGGGCACCGTTATGAGTGTCTTTTTTAGGGATATCTCAGACTGCATCTTGAATCCCTGAAATATGATGTTGAAACAGAAATTCTGGAAACTAGGATAAAACCAGAAATGGATGCAAACACAATTAGAATGTATGGTGTGCCGTCTGCATCTTTAATAAATGTTTGTCTGCAATGAAATACAATTAACATGTAAGATAATGCAGTTTACCTCATTTAGCTCTTCACTGGTTTATAAACAAATTCTGCCAGTTAACTGTCCTTGTTAAGCAGATGCACTCACCATACATGAGCTAAAACACACCACAGACTGCAAACTGGAACAGGTGCAGGGATTATAATAGGATGATGAATTTGTCAATTTACCAGCTCTACACTGACAACAATGAATGCATTTTATTTAAAACACTCGACATTGAAAAGCAGTTTTTTCCCTCAGTCTAAGGAGTCCAAGGTGAAAGGAAAAACATTCAATAAAACTTCATAATGTGTTCTGACTTCTAATGCTGGTACAGAAGGTATTTCAGATAAATTCTATGTACTCTGTGCTAATTAAGAAGGCCAATTATGCCATCAATTTTGAAATGGAAGGATTACTGGAGAACAACATAAGGAGAGCTTCTGATTACTCTAAGGAGGTGCTGTGAGCAAGGAAGATGTGGCAGAGAGGAAGCTGTGTAGGGAGAGCTGCTGAGAGAGAGGGCTCTGCATAGCACGGGTCAATCTCCAGAGAGAACAGGCTGCTCATGGTACTATTTTATTCACATCACAGCTGATTTCAATGTAGGCTTTGTGTTTACCCAAATTACCATCCAGTCTGATTTCCACAGGCATCCTGTGGCCAAAAAATGCTCATAGGCACCTCTCCAGTTCAGACACACCAACAAAGGTAACAGTACTAGTTTACTAATTTGCATCTTTGAACACCTAAATATCCACAAATCTGGCTCTTGTGCCAGATTCCCAACATCCTGTCAATGCTTTCTGCTCAGACTTCCTCAGTAATCTATTGTCAAAAATGTCTTCTTGAACCCCATGCCTTTGCTTTGTGATTGTAGCACATACTGGAACTTATTAATCACTATTAATTGTTTCATCAGTCTCTATGATTTCACTTAGTTCTCCAAGAACAATTCAGTTCAGGTGAAGTTTTTTTTATTTTGTCTTTGCTTTCCAGCAAGGACTGGATCCTCATCCAGCATAAATGAAGAAGTTGAAGGAGCTAAGCCAACATACATTTCTAGGGAACATCATGCCTATATTGTGAATACCAGCTGTAATGTTACTATTCTCAGCTACTTTTTCAAATAAATTATGCTAGTCTAAGTGTAGATAATGAAAGGCTGGAATCAGCCTCGGTGTAAAAGGGTAAAACTCCTTTGACAGCAGGAATGTTGCATTTGGTTACCCCACAGCTGAATTTAGCCCAGTCAGTTCAGCTTGGCATTATCACTGGGAAGATGTGGCTGTGAGTTCATGAAATGTCACAGCCTTATAGCTATAAAGGTGACACTTTAAATTGTCTTAAAGAATAAGTGTGCATTTAATTTACATTTAACAGGATGGTTACTGTATATCATTTAAATACTAAATCAGTGTGAGGTTTAGTATATGCACTAAGGTTAAAGAGTTACAGCAACTGGGGAGAATGGGCCAATTCACCTCTGATGAAAGGGTGGTGGCTCAGTGGAGCTACAAAAGAGAACATTTTGGCTCTTTTTTTGTATTGTTTTGTTTTGTTTTGTTTTTCAGAATCTTTCAGCACAGAACATTGAAGAAGCCTGAGACAAACAAAACGCTCTCTTGCTTATGTCTCCATCTACATGGTAAACCTAAGGAAAGATCAGTGTTCCCAAGGCTGACTTTGCTACTGCCGACACAGTTGGTTGCCCAAAGAAATTGTGGCTAAATTCTTCAATCACTTCAGCTGTTGATGTACCTTTTAAAACTGCATATCTAGGTCCTGAAGGCACAAGATAAGCAGCCAGAGATACAAAGGGGTTTGTGGCGGGGGGGGGGGAGGGGCAGCAGGAAAGTAAGATTTTTCATTTTGAGGTGAAATGTCAAAGTGTAAAAAGTGATCATTCCAAAATAAAGCAAACCCCCAAAGCATTTCTCAGAAATGGAAAAAGTTAATTGATATACATCTTCAAGAATTTCAGATTTTAAACTTAATAGTGTATTATTAGATTTTATTTTAAGAACATTAAACTTTTTTTATTACAACACAAAATGAAAACTTTTATATAAAAAGTCATCTTTCTGGGAAATGGAAGTGCTCTGTTTTTAGAGAATAGAAAGATTTATTTTTCTCTCTTACATTTGAAAATAGATTCTCCTCAAAGGTCAGAAATTTCTGCAAAATATTTTTGCCTTTGACAGTTTTAGTCAGGGAAGCAGTTTGTGTAAAAGGTTGCCACTAGCTTTAGCAAGCAGAGCATTATCAGGTGTACACAAGCTAATTGCCTACATGCACACAGAGGATGGAAGTTTGAGTGAAATTGTGCCTGCAGGCACTTTGACTTATTGATGGAATTTCTATTCTATGCAGAAATGTTCTTCCTCCCTTTACCTCCCTCTGCCAGATTTCAAATATTGCTGGATATTAAAGTAAAAAATGGAGAGGAAGTGAAAAACATCCCTTTCTCCTTTCAAAGGCAAATGTCATGGCTCTGTATTTGAATTCTTTCTCGTTAAGGAATTTAAGGCTGAGGATAGCTATTCCTGGACAAAGCAGCTGTTGTTCTACCCCAGTTGCATCATTTTAGCAAGAAATGAGAAATGTACCTTTACAGTTTTTGAAAGTGTGCACCAAAATATCAGGAAGAAGAATGTGACAGTAGGATCTTCTATCTAAAGAAGACAAAGGAAAATTATAAAGTGCTAAACACAGATGAAACAAGCTACCTTGGCACTACTGGCTGTTTGTTTGTGTTTTACATTGTCAGACAGAGAATATCAGATGAGGTCATACTTTCTTTGTAAATCTGAATTTTGCTTTGACACCTACATTTACTGCTGTATGCGACAAAAAGCGTATAACAGAGAACAAGTTCAAACTTTTGGCATTGAAGTGAAAATTGCCATCAATTGAAAGTATGTTGGGGCAGTTTTACTGATGAAGCATTAGGTCTGGGATGTGTTTGATTAGCGCTTCTTTTTTATTCCTTTGGATTTACAGGAGGTAGTAATAATCCTGCCAGCCAGTGATACAAATTGACCCTTTTAAAGTTTAGGATTGAGCAAGAAAATGGAGGGGCAGGCTCCACTAAAGCCACTGAGAAAACAGACACAGTCACTTCACTGGAACCAAAGTTTCATCTGAAGTTTGGTTCAGACTGATCTCTAACACTACATCTTCTGTGACAGCTTGACAAGTAAGGCTGCATTTTTTTCTGTTTTTAGGATAAAGCCTAAAGTAAAATCACTTAATGCACATGTATTGGGAAATGATATATTAAACACAAGAGATTTTTAAAACTCTTTTGGCCTTGAACCAAGATAGAAAGTTTAGGAAAACAGTGCATTTACATAGAAGAGGATATTTTTTTGTATTCTCTGGGGATTTAAGATCCAAGGGTCATATTTGATTTGCCAGCCGGAGAAAAAATCCTGCAGTTGTTGAAAGTTATTTAAAGTCATTCCTGCTCTGTAGTGCCTGCAGTGCTCATGCTTTTACTTGATGGTATGTTAAAAGTCCTTTAAAGAGGTTTACCTTGGCTAGATTGATTGTCTTATATATATATATATATATACATATGTATATAATACATATACGTATGTGTGTAACTCTGAATATATATATATATATATATATATATGAATACAAAAGTAAATAAGACACAAACTATTTTCTCTTAACTAACCCTGAGAAACTGTGGGGTTGCCTGAGACTGAGAATCACTGATTCTGTGTATGGTAAGTAGTTTTTCCTCAGCATGATCTGGAGATCATCAACCTTTGATGAACCCCTACCCTGTTTGGCAGCTCACCCTGTGCTCAGTGCTGGCTCAGTGACTCTCACTGTGCTGCCCAGGCAGTAACTGCTCATTAGGCAACACCTCAGCACTGCAAGGCAGATAACTGCTACAGAAAGGCCTTGGCAGAGGGTTTAAGTGCCTTGTTTGCAGCAGCAAACAGGGCCAATGTTCGAGTTGGAGCCCACAGCTCTCTCTTCTCACCCCTACCTTCAGTCCTTAGACTTTCAAGTGCCAAGAAAGAAGATGGATAATGTTGCAAACTTCTTCCTTAACAATTTATTCTGAATTTTTGAGCTTGCGTATCTTGGTAAGTAGCTGTCAAATTAAACAAAATAGGAGTGGAGGAGGAAGCATCAGATGTCAGAGCCCAACTTAGTCTGCTTCCATTTAGCCTAGTTCATGCACTGACATTTTCAGACAATGCATTCAATTTTTTTATTCTAGAAATGAAAAAGCATATTTTCCTCTTTCAGCCTGTGACCTCGTCTTTTGCTGATGACTTCAGTCATTGTTTGTAATAGTCAAACCCCTGGGGCAGAGAACAGAGTGATTCATTGGTACTTGGGGCACTTGGATTTATAGACCGCTAAACAGACTGAAATTATTCTTACTTGACTCTTGCATGAGACGGTCTTCAAAACTAGAAGTGTTGCCAAACCGAAGCCCTAGATACAGATTCAGATTTCAGTGGGCAGTGCAACCTGTTTCCATAGCGGGATGAGATGTATAGCAAACTTTTGGAAAGATCTCTGTTATGATTAGCCAAATTTATGAGCATTCACTTATGAATGAACCCACCGCTATGTAAATACTAGACAGCTTTACTGACAATTAAGGCAAAGCATGGTGTAAATCTCAGCCAACATATATATTCTAGACAGACCACAAGTTATTACTCAAAAAGTGTTACTGGCTTAGGAGGTTGGAGTGTCCCCTGCCAGCAGCTGCTGACCTCTGTAAATTGTCACCCTCCCTGGTGGCAGCTTATCTGGGCACTCCCTCACCCACTTCATCAGCAGCTTTGCATGTCTGGCTCCTGTAGCCCTATGCCTGGCACTAGAACAGGCTGAAACAGAGGGCAGCTTTGGTAGCTCAGAGTGGTGGGGTGGGTGCCCATCCTACAACAGTACCCGGGTGCCAGGAGCACCATCCTGTCTTTGAAGTGCCATCTTCTGGGCGATATTGACTTGGTAATGAGAAAAGGCTACAGACAGCATTACATACTCAGCTTCACCCAAATCTGAGCCAGCACTGCTTTTCATTGTGCAAACAAGGACCTGACAGGTGAGGATTTGCAAATCCAGGTCTCCTTTGGTTTTTTTCTTTAATAAAGATAGGTCAAATGTAGAACTCGTTGCTACCTCTGAGGAAAATTTTGAAATAAATTGGAATTAGCCTGACCTCCCTTCTGGATTCAAATTCTCAAAACCAACCTCTGACAGACAAGCTCTTGTGAAACCCAAACATCTCCAGTTTGGTCATTTCTGCTATGCATATTTCAATAGCTCTTTGCCAGCTACAGTGCTTATGATAATAAGAATAACAGAAACCAAAGTGAAACCACAAGTTAAGCTGCTTATTATATAATTTAATTAGACTCCACTGCACTTTCTCTTCCAATTCCCAACTTACAAGGGTTGAATTGTTAGGTACATTTTTCACATTGGGATTCTGAAGAGTTTATTTTGACCTGGCAAATGATTTTAAGTCTGAGGAAAAGCAGGTCGAGCAGTGGTGAAATAAAATAGGAAGTATGCAGTTTCTTCTCACCAAGCCTGGTATCTGCGTGACTGCAGCACACAAAGAGCTGGTGTGAATTTCAGGTCCTGCGCCTGCCTTAAATCAAGGCATTTGCAGAAATTAGTCATGACACGGTTTACCCAGTGGTCTTTGCTAAAGGAGCATTTTGGGGGTGAATTTTTACATCAGATGCTCATAACTTATTGGCTTCATGAGGTCACATGTACCACTGAGTAAGGAAGGAAGCAAAAAACATGTCGTTATTAGCAAGCCACTCACCTTCTTCTCCCTTCTTCCTTCCCCCCCTCCCCTCCTCCTCCTCCTTCCCTCTCTTTATGCCTCTCCTACGAGCAGTTTCCTTTGCAGTATCTGCTAAACCTGCACGGGCAGGACAAAATGGTCCCTCTTTCTTTCACAATGTAAGGTCCAGCGTTTCCTTTCTGCCTACACATATATTGATTTATGCCCTTTCAAGCCGATTGACTGATTGTCCCATAACACACCATTTAACTTCTGTGTCGCCAGGACATTTGTTGTCTCCCCTTCATTCTTCTTTTCCCCCCTCTTTGGTTTTAAAGGCCACATTTTCCAAGAGGGAGACAATCATGAGAAATAATGTTTTTTTGAAAAGAGACTGATTGTCACTGAAACCGATACGTCTGTGTGATAACAAAAACTGTCATTGCCTCACATGGAACATGTGCCCCAGGGACTGGGAGGAACAAAGAGATCCTTAGAGAGGAGCAGCGAGCCATGTGCGTCCTCTCATCTCTGTGGCACCAGGCAGAGCCCACAAGCCATTTTTCTCATACACCACTGGGACAGACAAATGAAGGAAGCATTTGAACAGTTTCCATTTAAGGAAGGAGTTAAATAGTTGAGTCATTCTTTTCAGCTATTTTATTCCTTCTGCAGTTTAGAGCACCCAGTCGCCTGAGGAAGGACCAGGGAGAAGCTGCCCCTTCTGAATGCTGGGGCTGATCCTGCAGGTTCTCCATTTATTGACAGAAATATCTTGGGAATACAGCTTTTTCTCCTGTTCTCTTCCTAAGCACCAACTCTTCAGTACTCTGGAGGCAAGCAGGTCACCTTCTCCTCATGTTTGCT